TCTAAATTTACGCCTTACCAACACAACCAGAGGCTGTTTGGCTAAATCGTTCAACAAGAAACGACAATAGCTTCGAGCTTATTTACATGCAAATTCAAAATGAGTTTATTTATTTTATAGAGAAATGATGACCGGTTCTCGACTACGTATTACTGTCGATTTTGTTCTCGGTACAATCTCGACATTCAAAATCATTTTGAGCTCCTTTCTGTTTGTAATATACTCTAAGCCTAAATCAACAATTTCAAGTTGAAATAGAGTTTGAATAAAGTTTTGCTGGCTTTTGCAGTGTAAACTTTGTTGCGTTCAATGTACTTTTGATACGGTAAAATAACGAAGGGAAAAGAGCTGACGATAGACGCAAATCACCCCGTCGTATTCCTGACAATTTATAGATATAAAAGAACATGGTTAAATTTCCAATATTTTTCTTTCACCTCACGCGTGTCAATCGTCATTCGGTAATCAAGATAACGTGCTTATTCTCGTAAAGCAACATTTCCAGGCGGGAAGATTGATCGACAAGGTGTGTTCAAATCTGCAATCGACTGGCGAGCGTCTGAAGCTGTATGTATTGAGTCTTTCCTGCGGCACGATCCAATCTGGCTTTTAACACTCGACTAGGCTTGAGCAAGACTCTTCCTACCTAATTTTCCAAATGGCAGGGCAGGACGCGCTTTATTCTATTTTCTTTTCTTGTCCGCGGAGGAATTGAGATGAGAAAATTGGCCACGAATTTTGCAATAGCTACGCGGCTTAACAGTACGCGAAGAGAGAGAACTTTACTTTGGGTTGAGAGGTGCAAGCCGCGAAGCTCGTAATATATAGGTCATGACTGCGGGCAACTTGTGCACAGCGATGATGTGACTTCGCTTCGCGAACGACGCTATATTCATCCCCTTCTGGAACTTTAAGGTAATTCGATAACCATTAACTAAGTTTTCCATTATGTTTGTGTATGTGTGTGTATCTGTTATTGCGCGATTAAAAAAAAGTAAGCTAGAACGCGCGCTTGTTGATTGGTTATTATACCTTCTACAAGTAGCTTGAAGATTTTCAATGCTCAAGGAGAAGCAATATAATTGCCTGAAGAAAGTATACGCAACTGATGAAAAATGCAATTCTTTACAGAGAGAAGGGGAAAGATCCTAGAGAGAGCGAAAGAGAAAGATAGAGGAAAAGAGAGGAAGAGAGAGAGAGATAGAGAGAGATGGATAGAACACGGGAAGATGAACAGCGGATGATACAAGATAAAATAGCCGTAGAAGTAGAAAAATAAAGTCTATATAAATTGCGTTAGAGAGCGAGGGCGAGGGCGAATTCGGTAAATTTCAAATCTCTTAGGGGTGTGCTATATATTGCTATTCTCCGCTTACCGAGAAAATTGAGAAGTAAAAAAACAATGGTAGGACTAAAGCTGCACTCGTCAACTACAAAACTCCAGTTTCATTAATCCGCAACTTAATCGACTTCTCGATATCACTGACAATCAAATGTATATAACGCCTCGAAGCAAGTTTACGTTGTAACTTGGCATGTGTTATTCGAGGCAACGAACTCAGCGAACCTCATTCAACTGCAAGCAACAAATGGAGTTCACATAACGAGGACGTTGTCGCGTGGAAAAGATAAACTACCATGTAATACCGTATCGACTTTACTTCGAGAACGTGGTCTCGCTTCAATTGGATGCATCCAATCGACTTTTGAATCCAAACGTAATGCGCGATTCCGTGCTCGCGCTTTTTCTTTTTTCTTTCTTTTTTTTTTCGTGACACATTTGTAACAATTAGCCAAACCGAGCTAAGTGGCGCGTGGTCCAAATTTAACCGTACAATTAATTCGGATAAATCCAGTAACCGCGGGTGCTCATTCCCCATTACGCTCTCGCACGTACGCCGCCACTTTGTCGTCTCTCTCTCTCTCTCTCTCTCTAATTGCGCGCAGCTTCTCCACTAACAAATAGCTGCGGAAGCGCCCTCGTCGCAACCCCATTGGTTGCAAGTTCGCGCGCGAATCTCTGCCCTCTTCCGAAAATGTTTAACACGTCGAATTGGACAGTCGACTGTGCGCTGTTAAAGAAATACTAACTTCGCGTGAATTCTTTATTTGAAAGTTGTATGTTAGGTACTCGCGATAGATTATTAAGCTTTTTAACGTAAGAGCTTTAATATAAACTTTTTTCGCATTCTAACCACCAAATCGCACCTTCGACGCTTCATGTGGAAAAATACTGTGCTTAACTGATGCGAAAAGCTTTTGGTCGGCCGTTAGAAAATGTACTATTCGGAATATTTGAATAAATTAGGGAAGTTTTCGGTATTTATCGATTTAGTACTTTCATAAGCATAAGTTTTCGCATGCGGTAAAGTTCGTTAGTCGTATTTTCCTATCGATAAATCAAGCTTAATAAATGGTTAAACATTAATTACAGTGCAATCCACAATTGCCATTAAATACATAGAAGTACTCTGATATATTTTAAATAATATAGCGATACGTACAGAAGTTATGTGAAATGAATGTGATTAAACAACATTCCAAAGCAATGATCCTCGGGGAATTACAAACATCGAGTATCAGATGATCGCACAGAGTGAGACAGTTAGGGAGCCTATAAAACGAGCGGTGCAAGCAGTTTCCATATTTCGGCTAGAATTACGCACATGACGGTTTATACACACACGTATATATTGTGTATAACAGCAGTTGTTCCAACTATGACAGCGACACGCCATATTCCTCTCGCGCCATATCGATTCCTAAGGCCATTGCCTTCCACTCACCCCCTCGCGACTCATTCTAATAACAAAACAATTCCTCCGCGCTATGTGTTACTGTCTTCAATCGAACGCCTTCCTATATATCGACAACTATAGAACCGTGAGTGTGCACAACTTCAATTGCATGTTACACGGACACGAAACGCTTTTGTCCCAAGTTTTTGAATCAATCCCGTGTATGTGCGCACGAGCGAGAGTCGATTTTACGCGAGGAATAGATGCACGGCTATTGTAGGGAAATGTAGCAGCTGTGTCGACTGCGCATAAGTCCTAAATCCGTCCTGAATCGCATGACCTATCTACGGGGAATTAATTTGACGTTACTCCAAATCCTTGCATTCTAGAAGAAAATGCAAAATCAAATATCAGCGTTACGGCCGTTTGCCAATACCTTTCCTTTCTAGGAGAACGCTGCTCAAACATTGAGTCGAGCCGAGGATATTATCAACGTGACAAATGGCAGCAAATATTTACGAAAAACGAAACGAACGAGCTTCTAATTAACCTCGTTTGATATGAATTCTGTCCGGTCAGGAAACGACAGTAATTATAAAATTGAATATGATGCTCACTCGTTAATTTTAGTAATACCAGTATCGGCACCGTTTCTTTTGTATATGTATATATACACATATATAAAATCAAAAATAATTTTCCACAATTACCTTTAGTTCGATTACTCTCTCTCTCTCTCTTTTTCTTTCAACTCATTTCACTCGGACACTTCTCCGTTCTTTAGTTTTCCTTACAGCTTCTGATGAGATCGCTGCTAATAAGAAAATACTAGTTAATTAAAGGCGACGCAGGCAATTTGTAGCACTTCAACTTTCTCCCCATCTAATGTAATTTACGGCGGACGACACGTACTGAAATAAAAGTACCTCTCCTTTTGCCGACGATTAATAGTGCTAGGGGCAATTAAACAAAAAGAAAAAGGTGGCTTACTAACGTTCACAGCCTGACTTGGGAGTGCGGCGGCGAGTGGCGTGCACGAATTTATCTCCGTGCGATATCGAGGAGCAGATATGGTCGCCGTAAATTTTTAAGTCGCGCCTTGTGGCTGTTGCTTATTCAAATCGAGATCTTTCCCATTGCCATTCCTGTTCAACGTCTTATTACACCCCTAATTTTTATTATTCCTTTTTACGGAAAAATGGAAGAACAAGTTGTTTCAAAATTAGTCGTCAAGTGAAGACGATCTAACAGTTAGACGCATTTAGAAGGGAGTTACGAATATTTCTAGTATTTTCATATTAATCATGATGTAATACTACAAATAACATTTTACGTAATTCAAAAGATAATTCAGATGATAATTGTATTAAAATATAATAACTATATTAACCCTTAACTGCTATGTGGGGTAGATTTACCCCAGACAATTTTTAACAATAAATAAAATTTATTTATTTTTTTTTTTTCAACAATTTTTTTCAGTGTGTGTAACATTAAAAATTGTTAACCTGAATATTTTTTTTGTAGTAAAAGGTTTGAAATATACTAGAAAAAATTTTCATAGCAAAATATCTAAAATTCTCTGATTTATTCGATGTTCTTCGGGTTGGGGTAGATTTACCCCACCGAGCAGTTACGAGGCCAAAATGAGGTGTGCAATTTATGGGTTAAAAATTAATCGTGTTACTTGAATGAATAACGAAGTGCCCGATTATGAGAAATAATATTTAAATGACATGCACATTGCCTACAGAATTAGCAATACGAATGGACGACTAAATGGTTAAGCGTAGACATAGTGTTATGAATATTAGAATATACATAACATAAAGTAAATATAAATCGTTGTTACTCCTCAACACTATATATCTTCGTTTATGGGATATTACCAAAGGATGTCAACAATACTTCAGACTGCAATCTTCATGGACGGCATTCGCTGTGGAACTACCAAAGTAGCTGAAACTAAAGTTATTCAAGGCAAAGAAAGTTAAAACTCTAATCTGACAATATCGAAAAAGAGAAATCGATCGCCGGAACGTCAACATCGCATTAAACAGTTGTAAAGCTCCCTATCTTTCCATTTCTCCGCTCGTAATTTCTCCAATCTAAACGCTTAACCAGCAGAAAAATGCTTTGAAAAGTATAGAATATCATTATTTCCATTCCTCCTAGCCTTGTTCTCTCCATATTGACACATAGTCACCCAGTTTTCCACAAAAAAAACAAACTCAGTATTTTCGTTTATCAATTGGAACATACCTTGTCGGCGAACGAAACTCGAAGATCACGGAGCTCGTGGAGTTAACGATGTTGCGGATTTGGCGATTTCATCGCTGGTTTTTTGGGGTAGAAAGACACCTGTAGCTTCAGACGTGTAACATCCGGCATCGCCGGTTCGCGCCGTGGCACATGTATAAATCGTTGATCGCTCGTCGTCGTCTCTCACCTTCGAATTCTATTTGAGTCGCGCGAACATTATATCGCTCGCGTACTCGAGTTTATTTCCGATCGTTATAATAGTTGCGAGGAGAAGATACGGTATATGTGAGATAGCTGCTCTGCTGGTTGTGCGAACAGCTGAGCGCGCGGACTGCTACTGAGCCGCGACGCCGATAACACGTTGGCGCGAAGCCCGCACGATGAGCAGCATGCTGCTGCCGCTGCTGCCTTCCTGCCTGACTTGCCTGCGAGACTGTCCCCCTCGACGTCTGCGCACTCCGCAAGCTCGACGCCTCTTTCTCTGTCGTCGAAGGCTACTTACACTTTACTATTTTCTATGGTTTTCGCTTCATTCCACGCCTTTTTCTTTCTTTCTCTTTCTATCGGTTCAACATCGAAAGTGCATTAGCCGAATTTCGATGCTCTTTGTGAAAAGTTTGCAGGTATGCTGGTAGTGATACCGAGTCGCGCTTGTATCATTGAAAAAAGACCGCTATAGGACAAATTAGTAATAATAATAAAGTTATAGCAAAATTCTTTGATATATACAGCCGATTGCTTCATGCTTGCGTTCCGATGAAAATAGCGTTAAACTATAAATATAAATAAGTATAATTGGAACTAGCACGCATGAATGAAATCGATATAAATTATTAAAGCTCAGCAGATTCTATAGCTGTTAATTATTTAGGTAAACGTTTCTTTTCCTAACACCCCGTTTTCCTTGTTTATATAGAGTTCCGCGCCAATTTTACTCTATAATTGAACATTGAGCCGGCACTATTTCAATTTGTAAACCCTACGAAAAGTCTAAATTGGTGTTAATGATATTATAACTTGCATTGGAATAATGTTATTTTTGGTAACAACAATTGATCATAATTAAGAAATGTTTTATTGAAAAAATATCTGTTCGTGATAGAGTTGACCTATTTAGGACTAAACTCAAACCATGATGACGTAAGTTTAAGACCAATTGCTTTTCAGTTGATTGAGAGTCGTATAAAAACCTATGTGAGGAAAGCCTTAAACCTTTATAGCGCCCTACAATTAGAATCGATTGACATCGAAGCTATGCCGAACTGACTCTATAGATTGACTATTAAGTTTAATTGCTCTTGCTAAAGCTACTTTTCGTGAAAACAAACACGCATGGATAAACAAACAGAAGCTTTATGATTTGTCTTCAAATAACAACGTGATAATTGGTTGTGTATGAAAACAGTTTTGACAAACTATTTTTCAATAATACAGCAGTCGTCATTTTCATTGCTGTACGGCGTCGATTGCCAAAACGAAACTACGACGGCTTTCTCGGATCAAACAAAGAGAAAAGTTCATGATTCTCAAAATAAAAACGGCGAGCAAACTGCAAAAAAAAAATAAACTTTTTTTATAGCAGAAAGAATTATAAATGGAATCACAATTTGATTCATGCCGTGTGGAGTGACTAATAGAATAAATGAATTGTTTTTCAGCGAGAATGTTTAAAAGAATCGTTTTTAGAACTACTGCAGACATCTATAAAAATAATGGTAGAATTCGTCATTGCGATACCTCTAGATGCGTAATTCATGAGGCTAAATGAATCATAGTGAGCAGTAATCTGTATTTCTTTAAATTCGATTTGCTACACTTGCGTGTTTACACTGATATTGCAAGTGGTATTTATATAACGAATATTTGCATGAAATAGTCATAACATGTACATCGAATTCGACGTATGAAAACAGTTCAAATGAAACACAGAAAGACTTAATTGGAAGAAAAATGCGCTAATGAATGAAAACTTTATCCGGCACATCATTAAAAATAGGGAATACAGGCATCCCTTAACGGACAATGCAGCAGAGACAATATTTCGATAAAATCTGCAAGTTCGATTTTTTTTTGCATTTTAACGAACATAATTGCACGCTACATTTCAATGCGCAAAAAAATACTGCAGCTGTTTTTCAAACCCGTCATTTTTTCTTTTTTTTTTTTTGTTTTAATGAGGATGGAAAAAATCCTTACGTACACACTGACACGAGTATCCCCGGCACTGTATAGGCGCTCATCGACGTCAGTTGATTACGCTTGGTGACGCCAGAGATGAGATCGGAATTTATAAAAAGCTCTTTGCAGATCCGCGCAAAATGCATGCATCCAATAAGGCATCATGGACAATCGATGTTTTCTCGATACAGAGCAGATGTTATTAGCGCGCTCGCGCTCGGTCGAACTGAAAATAGTTGTTCTGAATGATGGATGAGAGTCGCGCTCGAGCAAGTGCAAGATGAAATATTCGACAGGAAATGCTCTAAATTTAGTCGTGCCGTTTGTATATGCGCGTGTGTAAAGTCGAAAAGACGAGCACCTCGCGTAATTTCAGCTTTTTATCACTCGACCCGACAAATTACCTTCTAATTTCGTTAGAAATGTAATGTTTTTCCATTTTATTAGACTTCTCTGTGGTTTTCATAATTCGATCGCATTTACTTTGCTTCTTTTGTAGGCACGCGATTATTAAAAAGATTTTTTTTTTCCACTTTTTTTTGTGTCGCGAACATGACGTTATCGCCAAAGGTATTCGTTACTCTTTTCGCGTGTTTTTGGAATCCTGTTTATTTAATCTTCACAAATCGGGAGCTTAAGTTCTTTGTTTTACAAATGAAAGATACATAGAAGCTTTTTTCATTCGGACTCCGTTGTTATCCTTCATGGAATCGCTTTTCAAAAATAACAAAGAACAAAGAAAAATTCTTTTGCAATGAAGAATGTCTTTTTTTCCGTCAAAGCTGAATTAATTTATTACTATAATGTAGAAGAGGGGAGAAGGGAGGGGGTAGGTGGCAATAATAGTCGCAAGGCAAAGTTTATAAAAAAAATATAACGAGACAAGTCAACTGAGACGTTAACACACCCTTGGGCCCATCTCAAGACTCCCTGCGGCGCGGCCGATTTAATAACGCGCACGCGAGCGATGAGGCGCGTCACTCGATGCCCAAGTGCCCTGTAGAGTGGCAATTTCGTTAAATTGTCGAGATCTGCTAGTGGCCTGCATTTGCAAGAAGTACATAAAAATGAATTGTTTGAATTGACCATTTTGCGGTGGTTATATTAGTAAATAGTGCTTTAATTTTTTTTTCTTTTCTTTTTTTTTTTGTGGTATTAATATTTTTTCGAGTACTTTTTGCTAACTAACGTCAAAAATCTTTCCATTAATTGGACTTGTTTGAGAATTGTAGCCTCACGGGAACACTACAAAATAAATTCTTATTTTGTATATACAGTCAATTTAACAACTTTTTTCTTTTTCGTTTTTCTCAATTATTTATGATCATGCAGGTGAATATTTTAGTATCAATCTCTTTTTGACATAATTTATAAAAGCTATTCATCTCCAAGTGATTTTTACAGCTTCATAGTTCGAGTCATATTCTTAATTTCGCTGCTTATTTATAAACAAAAACCTCTTAATTTACGAACATTTCTGTAACAACTTAAAGCAACTAGAAAAATGATACGCATAAGTAATATACAAATATAATATGCATCGTAATCTCGAAAAAAATGTATAAAACAGACTGCAGAACGGCAGTGATATAAAAAATACAAATGACACGAAGTATTAACTCGACAAGAAGCAATGAGTTATTACTCAGGAATGCAGAAATGCTGATCTGTTGAGTTTGCGGTACTTTGACGCGGTAGTATATTGACACTAGACCTCCGTGGAAGCGGCTTTACCGTAACTACGCCGCAGAGGTAATTGAAAATAGTAACCAACTACTTTATTTTCACACTTTACTGAAAACTTGATACGGCAAAGTAAAAAGATAAAATATATAGATTTACTCAGATCATTTGATAGATCTTACATTGTTGGAAGAAAAAGAATCTTTTTATTTCTGTCGACCTATATCTGATTCAAGAATTCGGAGCAAAATTGTCCAATCAATAACCATGCCAAAAGTACATAGCTCGCCCAAGCAGCAACTAAAAAGTTGGATAACCGGCATAAGCCGATTCGTCCGCGATCGGGCAATCATTGAAAAAGAAGCTTTTATCTCGAACAAGAAATGAAAAGCTCGTTGATTAGTTCCTCGTGTAACAATGGGATTTGCCTTGCATGCACGGAGAAACGAAAGATTCGTATCTATACGTATACGAAGGAATTCGACAGATATTCGTGTGATAATTTACACGTGCAATGTTCGCGTGCTGCACGATATCTTTGGCACATTAATCGCTCATGTATGCCGTACGTTTACAGAGGTATCTTGGGCAAGTGAATTTTTATTGACCGGTTTAAGTCTTGGTATATAAGTATATAAGTCTCGGTGTGTTCTCAGGATATCGTTATAAGCTCCTTGGCTTTATTCCTCGGCCATGGGCCTATGTTTTTTAGGTAGTATTTCGCTTAGCTTGCGCAAGCGGCTCTCGTGGACGTTTCAAGGAGATGAAGGACAAAGATGAACGACGTCTCGCCACTGCCCTTCGTGTATTCTCTCTCGATCGTGCTTTCTATTCGGTATACGCAACAGGACGTTCGTTCGAGTCTAGAATTTGAATGTCTTTCGGAGCTGCTAAAATACTCATTCGAAAGTGCAACCCTGCAAAGTATAAAATATTTCAAAATCAGCTTTCTATAGTTTTCTTAGACGATTGACGGAATTAGCATTGACTAAGTTTCTTTGCTTATCAAGCGGATTGATATAATTGTCGTTGTATTTACCATTTTTTATCATGTTGACCATCATTACGTGAAATTATTTTTCCAGTGCTCATTCTCCTATCAATACTCAAGAAAAATTTATAAATCATATATCTTTCTAAATGCGATAGTTTTGAACCTATCGTATTATATTGACTAAAATTCATGCTTGGTACATGTGCGAAACCTCTCAAAATGAGATTGATGCGAGTGAACCAATAGCATTCCATGTGAAGGGGTTGCGCTTTACTAGTATTGTCGTGAGTGTCGGTTATACTAGTCTTCAAATCTGTATGTATAAAAACAATTTGATAATTAATAAAACAATGATGTAAAAACTTTAATTGTTTGAAACTTTAAATTAATTATTAAACGACAAATAACGTATGACTCAAGATAAGAAAACCTAACTATTTTAATTACCTCATCTTAAAATACAAAGGTAACCAAAAGAGGACATTTTTATA